CCATTTTCTCTGAGTTTGGGCGACTTTTCAAACAGATTTTGTTAGTGCCTTAAATTTTTGTCTAATCGTTCCTTGGAATATCTTTGTATTGTCAGAGACTGCTGATTAAAGGATGTTAATTGAGCCCAATTTAAGTTATATAGGAGCACATTATATGGTGGATACCACTGATACTAATAAATTACCTCCTATCTTATATGCTATCTTTTTTCCTACTTAATGCTGCTAGATGACCATACTGCGCTTGAGCTGGGCGAATCGCCCTCTAGTTTGCCCACCTTAAGAGATATTGATCAACCTGTCGGACCTGCCTCTGGCAACGTTGCTATAAGTTCCATCAACCTCTCTTGTCCGATCGACAACCATTTGTGCTCCGCACCCTGTCAACTTTCTTCAGGTCTTGGGGTGTCTGGCCTTTGCGCTGCTGTGGTGGCTAGTGGCAGAAACCGAGTAGCACCTTGTGGCAACCCCTCTGAGCCTCATCAAAAGCACAATTGGCCCGCCGATGATAAGCCTGAGATGCATGAGGAAAATGTTCGATGTGAGATAGACAACATATCGGTCTCGACTCCAACCTTGTCACCGACCTCTCTTTTATCGGACAAGCCAACTTTAGCTTCGCCTGTTAATATAAAATCCCAAACGGCGCATCCCCCCGACTCTTGCAAAAGCGCTTGTGATCAGGCGTCTGTTGACCTACCGGCCGAAATTGACGATCAAGAGCTATTGTCGGCCGCTATTCTTGATATGGCTCGCCTTTTAGAGCTTCCCGAGAATGGTGCTGAGGCGCTAGAAGGTCGAGTCTGTCTGGTTGCTGTCGCAGATGGCACAGTACTCGCTCGCGAGGCAGAGATGCAGGAAGAGCTCTTGTATATCATCCTAGGACAAATCAAGACTCTACAATCAAACTTTGATCCTAATACACACAAGGTGCATCTTTTCATTTATAATGAAAGTTTAATCTTCGTTTAATGGACAAATTTTTCAAAGTTTACGAGAAATATTTTTGGGTATCAATTTTTTGCATCATTAGGTCAATTTGAAGAGAATCCCAATCAGGTAGCATTTAATAACAATGTATCTTTTAAATGAAAAATCTTGTTTACTTTAATGTGACCTCTCCATATCTAAACATCCAATCAGCTTAGCATAAAATATTTCTTCAATTCTTGTAGAATCTTATTCTCTGTTGATCTAGACTATGAAACATTATTTGAAGATATGAAGACCAAGGTGTTGTGGCCTCTCTTAGGGTCGCAGTCTCCTTTCGATTTATATAAGTGGGTTGACCTCGTTGTCGCAACTCGGTCTTGTGCTCAGGGGGACTATGTAGAACGCACCGAGTCCGAAGTCGTCTGCCATAGTAGTTGTCTGGATTCCCAGCATCTGACAGTGGACTTGATACATTCTCAAACGTTTCGCCGGCATCGTAGTCGGCATCATCCTTTGCCATTCCCACGGATGTCGAGGGATTGACTTCACTTCTCTCTTTGACGAGTTCGTATCTTGGTGCGGATCATTCTCCGCACCAAGATACGAACTCGTCAAAGAGACAAGTTTCAATGCCTCGACAACCCTTCTGCTGGAAACGCTTACACTATCACTCCTTCTGTCCTGGCGTATCTATCTACTCTTTACCCTCTTATCCCACTGCCGCCCTATCACAACTTCTCACTTGTTTACATTCCAAATGAACAAAATGTGTGCCCTTTTGTGGCAAACCGGATGTATCCTCTTCACACTTGGTATTTACCTCCACCCCTCTCTTTCGATGGGCTTATCCCACTCGGGCCTCCAATCCGGATCCTTTCATTGTCTCGTAGAT